ATGGCTCTACCTCAAAGTGATGCTGTGATTAATGAATCATAGTCTAAAAACCATACAGTAATTCCAAAATAACTCAAGTTCTTTATATTTCATGAGTCCCGGAAGAGAATACGCCACCCACGGCAACATGTCTTACTGTTCCCTCTCCTTTCCCCATTCTCTTTATTTTGTACACTGTGGTACTTCTTTATCCAACTCTGGGGAAGTCTTTTCTTCATCCTTGTGCTCCCTCTCCCTTGCCATTTCCTTCTGATTGTACATCACAAAAGAAAGAACAAGTCTAATATGCAAATAGACAGAACAGCGGAACAACCTGAACAACCAAACAACCAGTTGTATGATGTGTGCTGACTACCAGGGGGCATGTGTGGAACATGGCGGGCATTGGCCATGGTTTGATGGTAGAGCAGGTGAGTGGAAGTGCCAGACCAAGGCGGGGTGCTGGTCACTGTCATTGGGGCGAGCCTCTGGTGGTTACTGAAAATTCTATGTTCCTGCGTGCCACGGTCCTGCCCGGCACTCGCACCTGCCACTGGCGCTGGAGGTACCGCTTGCACCCACTGCCAGTGCCAGCCCTGCTTGCACTCACAGCTGGCACTAGAGCTGCCGCTAGCACCTGCTGCCAGTGCCTGGTACCAGTCCCGACCACTCGGTGCCATCAGCGGGTGCGAACAGCAGCTGCTGGCCCCAATCGCCCCTCAGGGCTTCTCCACCTCCCCCTGCCCCTGAGAGGAGATCGGGGCAGCAGAGGATGGGCTGAGACCCCCCATGTGCCTACCATAGCCTCACAGCCTACAGTTCCTTTCAAGGTGCATGAATTTGTGTACTGGGCCCCTAGTATTTAAAATAAAATAAACATTGCTGCTATTTAGTACTGAGTTGTATTAATAGTTTATATAATGTTAGGATTTTTCATGTTACTCTTATTTTATACATTATAGCACTAAAGCTCCAGTATCAGTGTAATTAGGAGTTCTGGACTCATATCCTAGTCCTGATTTTAATGAGTTTGATAGCTATGTGATTTTACCTGTCTGGGCCAAGTCTCCTTACTATAAATAAAGTAATTAGACTATGCTATTGTAAGGTCTATTCCTACTCTGAAATTTTATTATTTTTAATATTCTCAAAATACCCAATGGTTAAGAAGACTGACCTGGGGGCTGAGGCCCAGTTATCACAAGTTCTTTAGAAGGAAATCCTATGAACACAGGATGCAGTGAACAAGAAATTAAAAAGTCCCCTTCCGGACCATGTTCCCCTCCAAATTGTGCACTTTTTTGGGGGGAAAGTTATTCCTTATTTTCTTCTACAAATTCATGACTAGTTTAAAGCTCTTATCTGGAAGTCATCGTCTTATTACCCTCCTTTGAGGTGGCAAATGCCATATTGGGGGAGGGAAGATTTCCTTCCTCCCACAATCTACTGTACAGTTTTCACACAATGTTGAAATTCAACAATGTGGAAAAGATACATAATCTGGTAGACTTTACGTACCAGGAAAAAAATTGAAGTGGCTTGAATAAATGGTGTCTTTTTACGAAAGTGAAACATTGAACATCCTCATATTACATTAATAATTTTATGTATGGATCTGTAAATGGTGCTGAGTAGGGGCTGTGCTAGAGAGGCATATGAAGGAGGTACTGTGGAGAGTAGTGATGTTACAAGAATGTTACCCCCAAGATATATAGCCCTCCTTTTTGGAAGAGAAACCTCTGGGTCATGGGGTAGGAATAGAAAAAAAGTTAGTTGTTATGAAAGCTGTTGTATGTTTGTTTTTTGTGCTTGCCCTGGGCAGTGCTATCCTCTCTTTAGAGTAGTCTTGAAGCTAGGAAGTAGCACAGAGGATAAGGACCCAATTAAATGTTCAAGGAACAGAGAGAATAAAGAGCAGAGGTAACATCACCAATAGAACAAACAAGATTTCAATGATATGCCACAGAAGAATGGGGAAATAAACAGTATATGGGGTGGGACCCACATATTTTTCAATCAACTGTGTAAATGCTTTTCTTGGAGTGTAGGCAAGATGTTATTTAGTCAGTCACCTTTTAACTTCAATCTGAACTTTCTCACTTTCCTACTCACACCTTTTCTTCTCACTTATTTACTAAAAAATCCACATTTTTACTTGTCAGCAATGTGCTTTTTATGATTATAGGCTCTTAAAGTATTTACAATCACATATTCAACCAACTAAAACAAGGTGATTATGTACAGATCATGTATGTGGTACTGTAGGGGAAGGAATCTATACTGATAATAGAGGAATATACAAATTGTCCATTACACCATCACAGAACGACTGGATCAGCAGGCTATATCCCTGCCCCCTGTGCCAGCCCAGGTAGGAGCCCAAATCTTAACCTACCTAAAACATGGCTGTGTGCCATCATATCAGTAAGAAAGGGACATCCCACACTTGCCTGGGCATCTAAGTCACTGGCCTAAAGAATCAGGGTTTCTCCCTCCGGACCTGACCTCTCTGGCCTGACCCTGCCCCCAGCAGATTTGCATATCCCAGACCCTCTGGTGCTTCCAGGCACTGGACATTCCCGCATCTTCCCTGCCTCCCAGCTGCTGACCCCCACTATATCCTACCCCAGAAGCACTCTGTCCTCCCCAACTTTTGGTTTTTATAGCCTAAATACATGGTGGGTGTAGTTAGAGAGAATCATTGATCAGCTGCCTCATGCACATGCCCTATTGGGGATCAAGCCCACAACCCAGGCATGTGCCCTTGACGAGAATTGAACCTGGGACTCTTCAGTCCTCAGGCTGAAGCTCTATCCACTGAGCCAAACCATCTAGGGCAAGCAATCTTATTCTTAAAAACTTGATTTTTGTCATAAACAAGTGGATTTGAATCATATCAAACCAATATACATTTTTTAATGAAATGTCTCTTCATTTCTACTAATACAATGCTACCTTAAAGCTTATGTTGTATAATCTATACCAGGGGTCCTCAAACTATGGCCCGCGGGCCACATGCAAATACAAATATTGTATTAGTTCCCGTTTTGTTTTTTTACTTCAAAATAAGATATGTCCAGTTTGCATAGGAATTTGTTCAGTTTTTTTAAAACTATAGTCCAGCCCTCCAACGGTCTGAGGGACAGTGAACTGGCCCCCTGTTTAAAAAGTTTGAGGACCCCTGATCTACTAATAAAAAGGGTAATATGCTAATTAGACCAGACATTTTCTGGACATCCATCCGGACAAAGCCACGGTGGCGGGGGCCGAGGCAGAGGCAGTTAGGGGTGACCAGGCTGGCAGGGGAGGGCAGTTAGGAGAGATCAGGCTGGCAGGCAGAGGGGGCTAGGGGTGATCAGGCCAGCAGGCAGAGGTGGTTAGGGATGATCAGGCAGGTAGGCAGGTGAACAGTTAGGAGCTAGTGGTCCTGGATTGCAAGAGGTATGTCCGACTGCTGGTTTAGGCCTGATTCCTGTGAATGATTTAGGTATCCATTAGGGTTTCTTTCAAATCTCAGACCATTTCTATGAAGTCAAAAGAAAAGAGGCTTTTCTTGTGTTCACTTAGGCTAAAGGGATTCCCAGATCTATTCTCTGGGCTGTTCTGTTCTTTCACTTATTAAGCAGCTACTGGTGGGATACCATTTATGCACCCATACTTTGCCAGTTGAGATGGGGATACAAGGAATTACTACTGGCTTAGTACCTGACATTCATGAGCTTGAAATTTAATGGAGACTAAACACGCACCCCCCCCCACCACTACCACCACCAACAACTTTAAATATATTTTTATTGATTTCAGGGAGGAAGGGGGAGAGGAGAGAGATAGCAACATCAATGATGAGAGAGAATCATTGATTGTTTGCCTCCTACATGTCCCCTGCTGGGGATCGAGCCCACAACCCAGGCATGTGCCCTTTCTGGAATCAAATTCGGGACCCTTCAGTCCACAGGCCAATGCTCTATCCACTGAACCAAACTGGCTAAGCCACACACCACCTTTAAATAGCTTTCACAACCTAGCAGAATCTAAGCATACATCCGCAAGGAATTCAGGGAATTGAATGATCAGTGGGCAAATTTTATGGAAGCACTGTCTTTATCTGGGTAGGGAGATGGCTTACTGAATTTACACACCTCTGCAGATTTTCTTGGTCTCATCTGGTTTTAGGACCTTTACCTCTTCCATCCATCTGTTTTGCCTGAGCTGCTGTGCCTGACAGAACTTGTGGTCTATGAGGTTCTATCACCCAACACTGGCCAGTTCTGTGCCTGGGAGACTACCACATTGATACTTGTAGGAATTATCACTATTAAGCATGAGTTTGAGCTTTCTAAGCAGCTTGCAAAAGGCTCAGAAGATGCAACCTAGAGGCGTGGGAGAGTTTACTTTGGCTAAAGAAAACCAGGAGCTAGAAAGAATTTGAACAGATAATTATTCTTTTCCTTTCTTCTTCTAACAGGCTAATCTGAGACAGTTTCTATGACCAACCTATTTGGAGACATCCTAGGTAGTGGAGTGAGTGACCTACTAAGTGACTGGCTGAGGTATTTCAAGCTTATGGTGAAGTAGAGGCCATTGTTGTTATGCTTATCTCACATAGCTTGCTATCTTTCCCTGCCGCACTTTCCTTTTCCTTCATTCTTGTCCTGAGAATACACCTCCCTGAGTAAAGTAATGCCCTGTAATCTTTGCCTCAGTTTTTGTTTTCTAGAAATCTTGGAGAAAGACAGAAGAGAAGACAATCTTTGTAGAGTTAGAATATAAAAGGGAATGATCTGCATTGAGAACATTTATGTTGGAGATAGCCACAATCAAATTTTAGAGGGCCATGTTGATAGACATGTAGATTCTTTGAAAGTTTTTGAGCAGAGTGCCATAATGGAAACTGGGACTTAGGAAGGTGATTAGGTTGAAGTAGAAACCTGGAGTGGTGGAGGTGGGGAGAACTGGAGGCAGGAAGACTAGTTTGGGTTCAAATGTGAGGATGAGTGTAGAACCAAGCTGTAGAAATTAAATAGTAGACAAGGACTTTTATGATGGCTTTAGCCATTTTCATAAAAATAGGAAGCAATGTAATTCACTAGAAGTGAGTAAGAGGAAGATACAATTGGAGCGTTGAGGAGGGAGAGAATGTGAGTGTACCCTCTTGAGTCATGCTCCTGAGTATCCATCATCCAGATTCAGTCATGTTGCTTCTTGTTGGTCTAGCTGGGGGCTATAGGTCTTCTGTTCTCCAACAATATGCTCCTAGGACACACAGAGAATTTCTCATTTCATAATGAATTTGTGTACTATAAAAAATTGCCAAAAGACTAATCAGATGTTAATACAATCTAGTCAATTTGGATTTTGTTAATTAAGTTTTGTAAATTAATTTAACAGATTAAAATTAATTTGTTAAAAGTTGTACATTAAAGCTACTACATAAAATGCCACTTACAATACTTTTTAATGAACAAACATATGAACTCTGTGGTTGTACAGCAATTGGCTTTTCTTTTTTTTAAATTAAATCTTTATTGTTCAGATTATTACAGTTGTTCCTCTTTATTTCCCCCATAGCTCCCCTCAACCCAGTTTCCACCCCACCCTCTGCCCTTACCTCCGCCCCCCACTGTCCTCATAAAATGCCACTTACAATACTTTTTAATGAACAAACATATGAACTCTGTGGTTGTACAGCAATTGGCTTTTCTTTTTTTTTAAATTAAATCTTTATTGTTCAGATTATTACAGTTGTTCCTCTTTATTTCCCCCATAGCTCCCCTCAACCCAGTTCCCACCCCACCCTCTGCCCTTACCCTCCCCAACCCACTGTCCTCCTCCATAGGTGTACCATTTTTGTCC